TCTACCTCCAGAATGTACTGGAACCATACCAACCAAACCGTGCACTTCGCTCTCAGGATGCCAGACGCCTGGTGGTCCCAAGAGTGTCCAAAAGCACAGTAGGAGGCAGAGCGTTTAGCTACCAAGCTCCTGTCTTGTGGAATCAGCTTCCTACATCTATCAAAGAGGCGGACACAGTCCCTTTATTCAAGGCCAGACTTAAAACATTCCTTTTTGGATTAGCGTATGGTTAGCTCAGATAGATAACTAGTAACACTTAGGGCTATTTATCCTGCTCCCCTGTGGGCTGGACTTGTATTTTTATTATATATATATATATATATATATATATATATATATATATATATATATTTTATTTTTTATTTTTTTCCCTATTCAACGGTTCTCAATTCACCATGCTTCCTTTATTCAAATGTTAAAATCCCTGTACATACAACTGTTTTTAATGGCCAAACATACACAACTGTTTCTAATTCCCTGTTTTTAATGCACCATACATACACAACTGTTTTTAATGCCCTGTTTTTAATGCACCATACATTCATAACTGTTTTTAATGCACCATACATACACAACTGTTTTTAATGCCCTGTTTTTAATGCACCATACATTCATAACTGTTTTTAATGCACCATACATTCATAACTGTTTTTAATGCCCTGTTTTTAATGCACCATACATTCATAACTGTTTTTAATGCACCATACATTCATAACTGTTTTTAATGCCCTGTTTTTAATGCACCATACATACACAATTCTGTTTTTAAAGCACCATACACACACATACACAACTGCTTTAATGCACCTTTTTTAATGCACCGTACATACACAACTGTTTAGTGCACTGTTGTGACTGCACTTTAAATGAAGCACCAAACTTTTCCCGAACTGTCTTTTCTAATATATATCTTTTTTAACCCGTCATATCCACGGACTGCAGGATAAATAGTTCTCGTTTTTTACAGTTAATTTGTTGTAAATGCTTAAATTTCGTTTTTGCATTGCTGTTCACCTGTTGTCCCTCTCTCTGTTTCATGACGCGCTGGTGGGACTCGAAACCCTGACTCCCTCGACCTGAAGACTGGTCCACAGCCGTTGGGAGTTGGCGGTTCTGTGACGCCCCTTGAGACAACTGTTTTTGTGATTTCGGGCGATACAAATAAAATTGAAAATTGAAATTGAAATTGAAATATATTCATACACTGTTTGTTTGTTGTTCTTGTTGAATGTTGATGCTGTCTATTTTTATTGAGCATCTTTTCAATATGGATATCGCACGACCCAATATCGCGATATGTTTTCAATATAATGTGCAGCCTGACAAAGAATGTTCATGCAATAGAACGGTATACAACAAAATATATCACCGGTAAAGTATTCCATGAAGCCCAATATTAGGCAAGCCCTAAATCCAAGTGAAAATTCACAAAAGCTCCTCATCTAATTTGACATAAAGAGAGTTGTAAATAGCAATTGTAACTCTATTTTAATCTTAATTTTAAATTTATTCCTTAGAAGTGTTTTTTATTCTTTATTTTCATTCTCTCTTTCTGACTGTTGCACTGAGCCAAAGCAATGTCCAAGTCTGTGACTTCCTGTTACTTACGTGGCAATAAAAATGATTTTGATTCTGATTGTTCCGTAAGGATGAATGAGCAACACTTTCAGACATCGTTAGATGTCCAAAGCTTGTAGAGGCAAACCCCAAAAGACCTGCTTATGTCCATCCATCCATTTTCTTCTGCTTCATCCGTTGCCGGGTCACGGGGAAAGCAGTCTAAGCAGAGATGCCCAGACTTCCCTATCCACACACACTTCCTCCAGCTCGTCCGGGGGGACCCCAAGGCGCTCCCAGGCCAGCTGAACGCCTTGGTCTTCCCCAGGGCCTCCTCCCAGTGGGACGTGCCCGGAACACCTCCCCAGGGAGGCGTCCAGGAGGCATCCGGAACAGATGCCCGAGCCACCTCAACTGGTTCCTCTCGACGTGAAGAAGTAGCGGCTCTACTCCGAGCTCCTCCTGTGTGACTGAGCTCCTCACCCTATCTCTAAGGGAGCGCCCAGCCACTCTGCGGAGGAAGCTCATTTCACGCTCCATCCTTCCCTCACTCGTGAACAAGACCCCAAGATACTTGAACTCCTCCACTTGAGGAAGGACCTCTGATTCTCATCCCAGACTTGCTTATGCGATTGCAGTAAAAAAGTAATAACTCGTACTGGGTGGTCACGTGAGCAGGCCCCCTTTTCAGTTTTCTTTAAATAACAACATCATGTTATCAAAGTGAAAGCCTAATTTTGCTTTCACTTCAAAATTGTCTATAAATTTGTTGTGGTATTCCAATCTGTGGTCACAATATGAGAATGAGAAGATATTTAATCTTTGGCAATGCACCATTTGTGGTTAAGTGGCGAGGTGCAGCTCTGAAACTGAATTGAGTCCTGGGAATGTCCCAACACATTTTTAGCAGGAGCTGGTTTAGGTGAGGAGTGTTGCTTCTGCTGACTCATTTTGTGATGTCAAAATTATGCAACAGGGATTAAACCACCTGCTGACCTACATAACGCGATGAGCTTGTTTCATGTCTCAAACACTACAAGCCATTATCTGCTGCCTCATTACGGAACTGAACTGGGGCATGGAGGCTAACACTATTGGCCCCTATGACACAGTAATGGGTGCTTACTTGGCTAAGGGAGAGTGTTTGAGAGTCAGGGCTTTGGCAAAATATCTAAATGTTATTAGTTAAAAAAATTATCAAAATTATCTCAATATTATCGGTTAAAAACAATGTTGTAAAAGAACAAAAGGCAGAGGTGTTCTACTGTAAATCCACTAAATCCACTCCTCAGGCATTAGAGCAGGTCACACCAGGATTCCACACGAGGCTGCACAGGTTAGAAGGCACGGGGCCATAGACATTGTCTGTCACTGGGGCTGTAATCAACCATTCGTTTGATAATTGATTAGTTGTTAAATCCCAAAAGGTAAGTGAATATCCAGTGGACCAGAAAACAAAACTCAAGTGAGTGATAACCCTCTAGTCAGGGCCTCTCTTTGTAAACACATTTTCATTTCAATCTGCAGTCATCACATTGCAGTCAATTATTTGGGTCGAAACCTCTTCTCAGTATGTTTATTGTCTAAGTTAAGTAAAAAAAAAAACCTGTGATATACAAAAAAACTTAATAGCATATTGGCAGGAACTGGTACATGCAGTGTTACACAACTTTGAGGTGGGATGGATTAGGTCAACAAATATATGCTCACTGAATCACATTTAACAGTTGTCAACAGTAATATTGATAAGATTCCACCCATGAAAAATGGAACCAAAAACAATAGTGTTGCATTATTATGTGTGTTCAGTTTACTACATAATTCCTGTGTGAAAACTACAATATACGAAAAAGAAAGTCAAGCAACAGAATTTGTACCATGTGGTTGAGAAGGGAGGAGTGGAGTGGAAGAGTGGCCATAGCGGCCTTGTGCGTGTGGAGCGCAGGCTAAGAATAGAAAAGGACTACCCGGGCCCTCCTCCTTATCACCAGCACGGGACATTGGTGTGGGAGCCATAGGAGTTGCTGAATAGGACCATAACTCATACTGCAATGAAAATTAAATTTAAATGCATCAATGTATTGTTAAAATGCGGCAGAGCATGAGATAAGAAGCCAAAAGCCTTAATTTTCTAATCAATCTTATTGGATCCCTTTGACATATCAACATATAAAGTGCCCTTAAATACAGTAGTTATGTATTGTGCTGAGGCCTTAAAAGTGCCCGTGCTGAAATGTATAACATTATTTTTAAAGAAGACATAGATAAACAGATACCAGCTCCATTACTACATTTTAAATCTCAATATTGATCTAAAACATTGTTTAAAATCTACAATGTGCGCACACTTCAGAAGTCAGAGCTGCCGAATGGGAATATTAGTGAAATGTTGTCATAATATCATGTCCACACCAAAAACACGTTGTGACGCTTTCAAGCAAAAATGAATGTGCACGGCTGCACAAATTCAAGAACGGAGAACAAACTTGAACAAAATTAAAAAAGTACATTTTCGGGTCAAAATCCAATTCAAAATAGCAGTTTTAATGCTTCCAATGCGATGCAACAATGAGCAAATAGTTAAAGGACAACTAAACACCAAATAAAATTAAAAAAAAAATAATTTGCAGTGTGTTCATCCATCCATCCATTTTCTTCCGCTTCATCCATTGCCGGGTCGCGGGGGCAGCAGTCTAAGCAGAGACGCCCAGACTTCCCTATCCACACACACCTCCTCCAGCTTGTCCGGGGGGACCCCAAGGCGTTCCCAGGCCAGCTGAGAGACATAGTCCCTCTGTGTCCTGGGTCTTCCCCGGGGACTCCTCCCGGTGGGACGTGCCCGGAACACCTCCCCAGGGAGGCGTCCAGGAGGCATCCGGAACAGATGCCCGAGCCACCTCAACTGGTTCCTCTCGACGTAGAGTAGCAGCGGCTCTACTCCGAGCTCCTCCCGTGTGACTGAGCTCCTCACCCTATCTCTAAGGGAGCAGCCACTCTGCGGAGGAAGCTCATTTCGACTGATCTCGTTCTTTCGGTCATTACCCAAAGATGGAAGTATCCGCCCCAACATCCTCAGCCTCTGCCTCCGGGACGGAGCACGTGACGGGGGGGAGTGAGGAGAACCTCGAAGTATTCCTTCCATCGTCCAACAATATCCCCAGTCGAGGTCAGCAGCTCTCCACCCGCACCGCACACGTTAATGTATAGAATTGACTGAACACCAAACCAAGATTTGTTTGGTGTTCATCCTTAATACCAAACCTCCATCAAAATAAACATAAAGAATAATGTTGGAAATTAAATCGCAATTTTTGTCAGAAATCCAATAAATAAAGTTATGTAACAAATCATTGCATATTCTAAAAGATGAAATATTCCCATTAAAGGATCATAATGAAGACAAACACTGCTGCATGTGTGTATTAAGTGAAATGAAGTCTTACCAGAGTTTCCCAGCTGTTTGTAAAATCTATATTCCAAATGGAGTTGTGGTGCTCTTGACTTTATCGGCTCCTGAAAGTGAAAGAATGACAGTGAATGAAATGATGTAACGTTTCTGTCATCAACGCACCAAAACACATGAACGAGTTAGTTAGTTAGTCAGCAGCCAGAAAGAAAGCACTTTTCACATTCTTGGATCCAGTTATTGTTATTTCTTATCTAGTTACATACTGTACATACAGGGCTGTCACTTTGTATGTAGGCCTCAATACTAGTGAGAGTTGATTATAGCTTAAGTTACAAGAAAGCTAAATGTTTACATGAATTTGAAGAAACTAGAGATTTACTTTATATTTTAAAATGAAAAATAAAATACAAAAAGAGCCTGCCATGTGTGCAGGAATCCAGAGGCCACAAAGACCCAGGAACAGTCCTGCTTCAGGCCGGGCTCAGAGAGGAGACATCAGAACTTCATCAGAACTACATCAGAACTACATCAGAACTACATCAGAACTGCATCAGAACTACATCAGAACTACATCAGAACAACATCAGAACTACATCAGAACTTCATCAGAACTACATCAGAACAACATCAGAACTGCATCAGAACTACATCAGAACTACATCAGAACTTCATCAGAACTACATCAGAACAACATCAGAACTAGATCAGAACTACATCAGAACTACATCAGAACAACATCAGAACAACATCAGAACTGCATCAGAACATCATCAGAACTACATCAGAACTACATCAGCATCAGAACTACATCGGAACTACATCAGAACTACATCAGAACTGCATCAGAACTGCATCAGAACAACATCAGAACAACATCAGAACTACATCAGAACTACATCAGAACATCAGAACAACATCAGAACTATATCAGAACTGCATCAGAACTACATCAGAACTACATCAGAACAACATCAGAACTACATCAGAACTACATCAGAACAACATCAGAACTGCATCAGAACAACATCAGAACAACATCAGAACAACATCAGAACTACATCAGAACTGCATCAGAACATCATCAGAACAACATCAGAACTACATCAGAACAACATCAGAACAACATCAAAACTACATCAGAACAACATCAGAACTACATCAGAACTACATCAGAACATCATCAGAACTACATCAGAACTACATCAGTACAACATCAGAACTACATCAGAACTACATCAGAACAACATCAGAACATCATCAGAACATCATCAGAACAACATCAGAACAACATCAGAACAACATCAGAACATCAGAACTACATCAGAACATCATCAGAACAACATCAGAACAACATCAGAACTACATCAGAACTGCATCAGAACTGCATCAGAACTACATCAGAACTACATCAGAACAACATCAGAACTACATCAGAACAACATCAGAACTACATCAGAACAACATCAGAACAACATCAGAACTACATCAGAACATCAGAACTACATCAGAACTACATCAGCATCAGAACTACATCGGAACTACATCAGAACTACATCAGAACAACATCAGAACCACATCAGAACCACATCAGAACAACATCAGAACAACATCAGAACAACATCAGAACAACATCAGAACAACATCAGAACAACATCAGAACATCAGAACATCAGAACAACATCAGAACTACATCAGAACATCAGAACAACATCAGAACAACATCAGAACAACATCAGAACTACATCAGCATCAGAACTACATCAGAACTACATCAGAACAACATCAGAACAACATCAGAACAACATCAGAACTACATCAGAACTACATCAGAACAACATCAGAACAACATCAGAACTACATCAGAACTACATCAGAACTGCATCAGAACTACATCAGAACTACATCAGAACAACATCAGAACTACATCAGAACAACATCAGAACTACATCAGAACAACATCAGAACAACATCAGAACTACATCAGAACTACATCAGAACTACATCAGAACAACATCAGAACTACATCAGAACTACATCAGAACGACATCAGAACATCATCAGAACAACATCAGAACAACATCAGAACAACATCAGAACTGCATCAGAACTACATCAGAACAACATCAGAACTGCATCAGAACTACATCAGAACAACATCAGAACTGCATCAGAACATCATCAGAACAACATCAGAACTACATCAGAACTACATCAGAACTACATCAGAACATCATCAGAACAACATCAGAACAACATCAGAACTGCATCAGAACTGCATCAGAACTGCATCAGAACTACATCAGAACTACATCAGAACTACATCAGAACAACATCAGAACTACATCAGAACAACATCAGAACAACATCAGAACTACATCAGAACTACATCAGAACAACATCAGAACTGCATCAGAACATCATCAGAACAACATCAGAACTACATCAGCATCAGAACTACATCGGAACTACATCAGAACTACATCAGAACTACATCAGAACCACATCAGAACAACATCAGAACAACATCAGAACAACATCAGAACAACATCAGAACAACATCAGAACAACATCAGAACAACATCAGAACAACATCAGAACATCAGAACAACATCAGAACTACATCAGAACAACATTAGAACAACATCAGAACTACATCAGCATCAGAACTACATCAGAACTACATCAGAACTACATCAGAACTACATCAGAACAACATCAGAACAACATCAGAACTACATCAGAACTACATCAGAACTGCATCAGAACAACATTAGAACAACATCAGAACAACATTAGAACAACATCAGAACTACATCAGCATCAGAACTACATCAGAACTACATCAGAACTACATCAGAACAACATCAGAACAACATCAGAACAACATCAGAACTACATCAGAACTATATCAGAACAACATCAGAACTACATCAGAACAACATCAGAACAACATCAGAACTACATCAGAACTACATCAGAACAACATCAGAACTACATCAGAACTACATCAGAACATCATCAGAACATCATCAGAACTACATCAGAACTGCATCAGAACATCAGAACAACATCAGAACAACATCAGAACTGCATCAGAACAACATCAGAACAACATCAGAACTACATCAGAACATCAGAACTATATCAGAACTGCATCAGAACTACATCAGAACTACATCAGAACAACATCAGAACAACATCAGAACTACATCAGAACTACATCAGAACTACATCAGAACAACATCAGAACTACATCAGAACTTCATCAGAACTACATCAGATCTACATCAGAACTACATCAGAACTACATCAGAACTACATCAGAACAACATCAGAACTACATCAGAACTACATCAGAACATCAGAACAACATCAGAACATCATCAGAACATCATCAGAACATCATCAGAACATCATCAGAACAACATCAGAACTACATCAGAACTACATCAGAACTACATCAGAACAACATCAGAACAACATCAGAACTACATCAGAACTTCATCAGAACTACATCAGATCTACATCAGAACTACATCAGAACTACATCAGAACTACATCAGAACAACATCAGAACTACATCAGAACTACATCAGAACAACATCAGAACTACATCAGAACTACATCAGAACATCAGAACTACATCAGAACATCATCAGAACATCATCAGAACAACATCAGAACAACATCAGAACAACATCAGAACTACATCAGAACAACATCAGAACAACATCAGAACTGCATCAGAACAACATCAGAACAACATCGGAACTACATCAGAACTACATCAGAACATCAGAACTATATCAGAACATCATCAGAACTACATCAGAACAACATCAGAACTACATCAGAACTACATCAGAACTGCATCAGAACTGCATCAGAACAACATTAGAACTACATCAGAACAACATCAGAACAGCATCAGAACAGCATCAGAACAACATCAGAACATCAGAACAACATCAGAACAACATCAGAACAACATCAGAACAACATCAGAACTACATCAGAACAACATCAGAACTACATCAGAACTACATCAGAACTACATCAGAACTACATCAGAACTACATCAGAACAACATCAGAACAACATCACCGCTCGCAAGTATTGTACTCAAAACTTCTGGATCCATTGCTGGGTTGATAATCAATTTTATTATATGACTTGGACCGTACGCGCGCTCTGATTGGCTGATTACCGGTCTGATATTTTCCCATCTCGGACCGTTACCATGACAATCGGTCCACAGCCCGTGTCACACTAAACCAAGTCGGACATGAACATACTTCACAAATATCTCAAAAGCATTGGTAAAGACACAGACGAGAGTCATATAATAAAACATTTATTAACCTCGCTTGCTCGGTTAATAAGCCGTTAGTAGTTGTATCGCTGCATTTGTGCATTCCTGCAAAAAGGAAATAGGCAACAAACCAATTTGATATGGTCGGTATAATCAATTACACAGACTACTCATTGCTCGTTTGTTCACAGTATGTAGTAAAAAGTTAATAGAGATCTAAAAAGCAAAAAGAAGCTTAAAAAACACATTATACAAACATTTTGACCATGTTACAACATCCAAACAGACATTTATCTATGGAACCTTGATTAACCATTTCTACGGTCTGTGCTGATCCCTTTCCCAAGTGCACACAAGCATGAATCCCCCAAAGAAATCATTAAGTTATGAGGTCAAAACTATCAACCTCTGAAATGAGGAATTTCGACAGTCTTTTTTGGAATATACAAAAAAATCAGTTCACTTCTAGGGAGGTGAAAGTGAGTGCATCAGGGGATCAAAGAAACATCTCAAATTCAATGAACTTAAATATAATCTTTCTCCTGAATATTGACACAATACATATGATTATGGAAAATATTGTCCAACACCGAAATCAATTCATGGCCATTCCCTATTCCAAACATGGAAATGACAGTCCAGGACAGTAGAGTCTGATCTATAAGCATTGGTCAAGAAAGGCCAGCAGAGGTGAAGAACAGGGAAAAAAGCAAAATGAAAAATAAAAAGGGTCTAAGCAGATGGCCTCCGGGTGCTGGAACGTTTAAAAGAGCTTACAATGGGAAACAGGCT